GTGTGTGTGTGTGTGTGTGGCCAGCTCAGCCCACCAGGGGGCGGGGCTGGCTGGCATGTGGTACTGGGGGATTGAACTGCGGTCCCTGTGCTTTGATAAGCTTGTTCTAAATAGGTGCTTTAGACCACTGAGCCATCTCACCAGCCCCCCCCTCCCCCGTCATAATCTTTAAAGAACATGTAGGCCTTTAAAATATATTCCTGCACAGCTTCCTTGCTCGGGTCTTCCTCAGGGAGGGGTGAGATGGAATCCTTAGCTTATCTTGTGTCACCTTCTATTTATGTGAACTTGACTTTCAGTCTCTGAAATGGGGTGAAACTTTGAAACAAAGGATGAGGGCATAATCATGGAGCACAGCATAAAGCTTCATGAGTTTTTGGCACATTGCTGGAATAGATGGTCTAAGAACTATGTTCCAAGATTTCAGCAGCTGGTGTTAGGGCCATAATTGTTATAATCTCTGACCCTGTCTTACAGACAGCTGCTTGTCCTGTGGTAGGAAGAACCCTGTGTCTTTCCACCCACTCTTTGAGGGTGGCCTCTGCCAGACGTGCCGGGTAAGTCCCCTTAACCTGCCCTGGGATTTCAGCATACCCACTTCCTTTACAACTCCCTCCGAAAGCCTCCCAGAGTACTCTCGCAGCAGGTTATGGCCGACTGGTTCCATGGCTATGTCTTCGGCTCACAACCCATGGGCAAGCTGGGCCTGGCTGGCCTGGTCTTTGGCTTCACAGGCATTTGTTTCTCTGCCTACCAGGATCGCTTCTTGGAGCTCTTCTACATGTATGATGATGATGGCTACCAGTCCTACTGCACTGTGTGCTGTGAGGGCCGCGAGCTGCTCCTCTGCAGTAACACAAGCTGTTGTCGGTGAGCAGCGCGCCCTCTCAAGCCCCAAGGCAGCTGTTTGCGTTTAATGCAAGCCCAGGCACAGGACTGGGAGTATTTGAACTGGGGGCTGGGCACTGGTGTCACTGTGTAAGGCAGCTGGTGTCCTTGAGTCAAGATGTAGAATATATGCAGAAGGTTAGTACAGGAGGTGAGGGGGGATTCTACTTGGATGGACTCCATTTGTTTGCCAAGAGCCTGTGGATTTAGAAGAATAGGAAACCTAAGGAAGAGGTTCATCAGACAGACCTCTTCCTTATCCTTGCAGGCCACAATGAGGAGCAGGTGAAGATGGATATGTAGTAAGGTATTGTGTGTTGCAATTTCTGTGGGGAGGCCAAAGAGCTGCCTGTTTAGATGTCCCCTTTCTTGGTGCAGGTGCTTCTGTGTGGAGTGTCTGGAGGTGCTGGTGGGCACAGGCACAGCCACAGAGGCCAAGCTGCAAGAGCCCTGGAGCTGCTACATGTGCCTCCCCCAGCGCTGCCACAGTATCCTGCGACGCAGGAAGGATTGGAATGTGCGCCTGCAGGCCTTCTTCACCAGCGATTCAGGCCTTGATTATGTAAGCCATGGGCTGGGGCCCCACAAGTCTCAGGGCAACCAGTGTGGAACTCTGTGGAATGCTCAATTAGAATTAATGCAAATGAAGATGCATGAGTCAAAGGAGCCTGTGAGCCAACAGCCCCTGCAGACTAACTCATGCCTTTGTGTACAGTTCTGACAGCTCAGTGAGTGGATTTCACAGGACTGGTTAAGAGGAGCTTGTAGAACTAAGCCTTTTTCGTTAGTTTGGGTAAAGATTCTTGTAGCTCACTCAGTTTTTTTCTGCTCCTTACTCAGCATTTTTGTAGGAGTGACAACCATTCATAGGAGTGTGCAGATCATTCCTTGGCAAGGGTCATGTGCTTGGATGTGTGCACACATGCGTCTCTGTCTTTCTGTCTTTTTTTTTTTTTTTAATTTTATTTATTTATTTGTGTGTGTGTGTGTGTGTGTGGCCAGCTCAGCCCACCAGGGGGCGGGCTGGCTGGCATGTGGTGCTGGGGGATTGAACCGCGGTCCCTGTGCGCTGCTTGGCTTAGTTTGTTCTAAGTAGGTGCTCCAGACCACTGAGCCATCTCACCAGCCCTGTCTTTCTGTCTTGTTGAGTTTCCTTATTGTCTTCAAACTTGTGATCCTCCTGCACCAGCCTCCTGCGTAGCAGGGATTATAGGCATGCTCTGCTGCACCTGTGGGCTTGTCCTTTCCTGTTGGTATTTGTACCAGTGCAGCTGTGTTCAGGCGCTAGGACAGAAGGGCTTTTGTGTGCTGAGTGCAGGTAACATGTTCTGGCAATTGCCATCAAAGCTTCTGTGGCAGTTGCATCAGGGTTTAAAATCTTGCCCACAGGGACAGCCTGCCACTTTTAGGTTTTCAGACTTTCCCCTGCTCCTTCAGTTCCCTCAACCTTCTTCGTTTGACAGGAGGCCCCGAAGTTATATCCAGCAATTCCTGCTTCCCGAAGGAGGCCCATTCGAGTCCTGTCACTGTTTGATGGAATTGCGACAGGTGAGTGGTTCATTTAAGCCTCCAATTCTGGGCAGTCTGGATGTTACCTGTGCACCTGCTCATGTCCCTTTCCACCATCTTACCACGTGATACTCTAGATTCTCTTTTTTGAAACTGTCTCTCCTTACTTAGTACAAGCTGCCCTTAAATTCACTTATGTAGCCCAGGCCAGCCTTAATCCTCCTGCCTCAGCTTTCCTGAGTTCTGGGATTACAGGAGTGTGCCATGACACCTGGATGTTGGTTCCATTTAAAGCATACATGTCTCAACTGTTGCATTCTGGTTTTTATGTTATGCATGTATCTGAAAAGCGAGTTTTCCATGTACATCCAGTTAGCAACAACTACCCCATGTGTAATTTGGGCCCCGTTCCTTTCCCAAGGTTCCCCCTAGATGATTGCAGAGCCAACAGGCATGTCGCTTGGTACGCTGCATGCATTAGTCCACTGAGTCCCACCTTCACCTCCTCACTTATGTCTGCCTGCCTTTCTAGGGTACTTAGTGCTCAAAGAATTGGGCATTAAAGTGGAGAAGTATGTCGCTTCGGAAATATGTGAAGAGTCCATCGCTGTTGGAACAGTAAAGCATGAGGGGAATATTAAATATGTGAATGATGTCAGGAACATCACAAGGAAAAATGTAAGTGTTCACCTCTAACCCCCCCCCCCACTTTTTTTTTTTTTTTTGAGAGACAGGGTCTTATATAGTTCAGGTGGACCTTGAACTCACTTAATGTAACCATGGCTGGCCTCAAACTAAACTCAAATCCTTTTGCCTTAGCCTCCCAAGTGCTTGGATTATAGGCATATGCCACCACTCCCAGCTTCTACTCATCTTACTCTATTGCCTTCTCCGTGTCCATCAGCCCCCTGCTTCAACCACATGCTGTCTCATCCTTAGTAGCCAGGTTGTGGGTAGAAGAGAACCTGGTATTCTGAGTTGTAAGTGTACTAAATGGCAATTAGAAATAGTTAACTTAGTGGTTGAAGTCTTGGAATCCAAAGCGCTGAGCTTCCAGATTGATTGATTGATTGATTGATTGATTCATTCTGGTGCTACTGGGGATGGAAGCCAGGACCTCATGTGCTAGGCCATGCTTTCCCACTGTGATACAAACCAACCATGAGCTTTCTTGGGTTATAGATGGTGCTGCTCTTGATAGATTACTTCAGAGTCCTGGCTTGCTTTTCTTCACATTGTTGCTCTGAACCTGTTTTTCTCCTATAGATTGAAGAGTGGGGCCCATTTGATTTGGTCATTGGTGGAAGCCCATGCAATGATCTCTCCAATGTGAATCCAGCCAGGAAAGGCCTGTATGGTGAGCACCCCTCATTTCTAGAGACCCTCAGAGCCAGCCTTTGTGATTATTCTTTTTTTTTTTTTGGACGGGAGCAGAACCGGGGATTGAACTCAAGCCCTTGTGCTTCCCAGGAAAGCACTTATTCCACTGAGCCATCTCCCCAGCCCCAAGCATTAGTGATTTAAAAAAAATTTTTTTATCTGAGTACAGCTTCCTGAGGGAACCTCTTCCTGTCCAACCTTACTGAGAACTTGCTGCTTGGGCACTGTCCTTACACCATTGTAAATCCCTGGCCCAGGGAGGATACTAATAAATAGTGCACTGTTGCCACCTGTTTCCTTGCTGCCATCATTCCTGAGTGCCCCAGAGAAATGGGACACAGGGTATTGGGACCTATGGATCTTAGGGAATATGAATAAAGCCCTGCTCTTTGTTCTTTTTCTTGAGCAGAGGGCACTGGCCGACTCTTCTTTGAGTTCTACCACCTGCTGAATTACTCACGCCCCAAAGAGGGGGATGACCGGCCATTCTTTTGGATGTTTGAGAATGTGGTGGCCATGAAGGTTGGTGACAAGAGAGACATTTCACGTTTCCTGGAGGTGAGAGAATGAACCCACGGGCCTGATAGTCAAAGACAACTTGGATGATAAGGCCTTGTTGTTCAAGAGGAGGTGTGGGGTTAGATCTGGAAGTGCCCGATTATTTTGTGTCCTTTAGTGTATTGGAAATAGTTATTGCTAACATTACTCAGCTTTTAGTCTAGAGTTTCTTCTAATCCTTATTCTGAATGGCCATTTTAGGGTTAAAGAAGTCAGTGCATTGTTTAATATTTATCAACTGCTGTAGTACACTTTCTGTTCACTGAACTCAATTCAGTTTTCTAGGAAATATGACAACTTGGGTTTGATTGATAGGAATAGTGCTTTTCTACCTTGGTCACATGTTCTGTCATTAAGGAACAAGACCCTAGGGGATTCTTAGAATCTGATCAGAACTCTGCTCACTATGTGGGAGATGAGTGTTTTCTAGTTAGATTGTGGATGGAAATTGGCATGTTTCATTTCACAGGGTGTATGTCATGCATGCCTTTTCTTTTTTTTTTTTTTAATCTTTATTTGTGTGTGTGTGTGTTTGTGTGGCCAGCTCAGCGCCCCAGGGGGCGGGGCTGGCTGGCATGTGGTGCTGGGGGACTGAACCGCGGTCCCTGTGCTTTGCTTAGCTTGTTCAAAGTAGGTGCTTTAGACCACTGAGCCATCTCACCAGCCCCTAATGCATGCCTTTTCCATAGCCACCCACACAGGTGAAGCGTTGGTCTGATGAGGGCCTGAATTTTTGATGATGGCCCCCAGCAGCTCCCTTCCTTTTTCCTTGCAGTGTAATCCAGTGATGATTGATGCCATCAAGGTCTCTGCTGCTCACAGGGCCCGATACTTCTGGGGAAACTTACCTGGGATGAACAGGTAACACAGAACTGAGTAGGACAGCTCGCAGCCATGGTTTTCAATGCTACCAGCTCTGCACTGCAACTTTCTAGAAATTGAATGTTGTGGTGACAAACAACGCCATCCTGGGCTTCAGCCCCATGTGTGCTGTTACGATCTCTGTTATGATGTGAAATACCTGGGATCTTTCAGAATCCCTTAGAATTACTACTGGCTCACACTAGATGCAGTTACTTACCCTCCCAGGCCCTATGTTCTTGGGCCAGATGAATGTCTCGTGAGGATGTGAATCACTGCCTCTGTACTCTTTTTTTTTTTTTTTTTGTCTCCTTGCTGCTATGACAAAACCTATTAGGTTGTGGAAATAGATAGTTGAAGGCTCATTCCTCTTGCCCCAGATGTGAAGCTCATCCGGCTGGAGAGGACAAAGCAGGATCCAGGGCATTATTAACCCAAAGATAGTCTTCCTTAGATTTTTTAAAATTAATTTTTGTCCTGTTCCAAAGGTACTTTGGTGTTCTTTAGTTTAGACATGGGTCTCCATGATCATTTCTGGCATTTAGCGAAGTATGGATGGAGTAGGAGAGTTTTGAGGTAGCTTGGGGGACTTCTATGGGCATCATTGACTTTAATTTGTGGATCAGCTAATCAGATTGTAACATGCCCATGTTCTCATGACATGGGCATATTCACAGCTAACATTTGAGCTCTCCCAGGAACTGTTGTACTGCTGCTGTTTCGCTGGATTATACTGCAAGGAAACTGGATTACACTGCAAGTCTAACTCCCTGCAGTCTAACTCCTGTGACTATGACTTGCTAGTGGCAGAAAGGGAGGAAGACAGTAATGGATTGCAATGGCGTGGGTGGGCATTGCAGTGGGCACTGATTGTAAGGGCTTGTGGTGAGGGAAACCCATGTCAGGATTGTAAATGAAGAAATAGGCAATGATTAGAGTATTCCAGGCAGAAGGGAAGGGAAATCTAGTCTGATGGGACATGTCTACAGCAGTCTTCATTAAGCAAAAAAGGGAAAGAAGGGCAGAGAACTCCAGGTAGGGAACTTAAATGTGCCACCACTTAGGCTCACACAGGTGTAGGAAACGATAGGTGTTTTAAGCAGCTGGGATGAATTGTTTTAGCTTTCTGGTAGTTTTTGAGTGGAGAAGACTGTCCAGCAGGACAACAGCTTAGATGGTTGTGTCTCCTGGAGGAAAAGGAGGAGGAGAAGGAAGAAGGGGAGGTGGAGGGGAAGAGGAAGGGGGAGGAGGAGGAGCAGGAGGAACTGTGACTGATTGCTATGCTGTGCCTCAGGAGTGTTCATCTGTTGAGAGGACAGAAATGTGAGTGTGTCTGGGATTTGTAGGATGAAAGTCTTGGGGATTGGTAAGAAAGGCTCATAGTTGAGGCAGTAAGGTTAGAATTTCCAGAATCTGTTTATGCAATAGTCACATGGTAGAGCAGAAAGTGTGAGTAGTGGCAGTTGAGCCTCTCGGGATTAGGGTTAGATAAGCAAGCATGATGAGCATTGTTAGGGATGAAACCAAACAGTCTGGTTTATGCAGGCTTTATTTTTCTTTCTTTCTTTTTTTTTTTTTTTTTGGCGCTACCGGGGATTGAACTCAGGACCTTGTGCTTGCCAGGCAACCACTTATTCTACTGAGCCATCTCCCCAACCCCTATTTTTCTTTTGTAGTGGGGTTTGAACCCAGGGTCTTTGGAGAACAGTATCCCTATTTTTTATTTTGACACAGGTTCTTGTCAACTTGCTAAATTGACCAGGTTGGGTTTTAACTTGAAATCTTCCTTCTTCAGCCCCCTGTAGCACAGGGATTACAGGTGTGTACCACCACACTGGTTAGTTTGTGTCGTTTATATAGTTTGAGGTTTTTGTTTTTGAACTCATGACCTCACACTTACCAGGCAGGTGCTATGCTGTTGAGCTACATTCCTGGCCCTGTGTACTTTTTAATTCCTCAAATCTGCACAAGGCTGTGCTGAGTGGAATCCTTTTTTCCTGGTCTCTCAGTTTCCTTCCCTCTATGCAGGAGAGTTTGGCTATTGGAAACCTGGGAAGCAAGGACAAGGCTGGCTGAGTTCAGGGAAAGATTTGATTTTTTTTTTCTTTTTAAGCTCCTCGTGGGTATTTTCCGTTGTCAAGTCTGAGGTCCTTTTGGCCTTGCACTTCCCAGAAGGGTTGTTGTGGTGCTCATCAACTCTGTGCAGACATCTTGTCTGGTTTGGACTTTGGAACAGCACAAACCCTTTTGGTTCTATCTCTTGCCCTTCTTGGCTTATGTTTTCCTCTTTGCATTTGCAAAACAGGTTTCTTGTGTAAAAGTTTTTTTTTTTTTCTTTCTTTTTTAATTGGAGATGGTGTCTCACTGTGTAGTTCAGGCTGACCATAAACTGGCCTCAGGCACTAGTGACCTTCCTGCCTCAGCCTCCTGAGTGCTGGGATTATGGATATGTGCCACCTAGCTTGGCTAGAGGGAAAGTTAAAAGTGTAATTAGCATTTTTGTGAGTCCCTGTATGACTTTAAGGAGGGTAGCACACATTGACAAGCCTCTTGGGCCTGCTTCCCTAGCACTGAGCCACCAATCATAGGGTTGGGACGTGTTAATAGTATCAGATAAACTCAGAAAGATGTGCTTAATGTTTCTCATGTTAAATAAAATAGACAACTCCGCGAGGAGTTTAAAATAAGATAGACTGACACTGGGGGTGTCAGTCAAGCACTGGCCTTAAAGCACATACAAGGCCCTGAGTTCTATCCCAAGAAACCCCCAAAAAGACCTCACTGTCAAGGAGATGTTGTGACTTGCTCAAGCCAAATAAGCACCATGGGGCTGGCCCTGGACGGTTCTTCTGACTCTGCCCTCCAGTGTCCTGTCCTTTCTCACTTTTGACCCTGGCTTTGACTAATAGTAAAGTTTAGGAAAAAGCCAGGTACAGTAGTACACACCTACAAGCCTTGCACTGGGGAAACTGAGGCAAGAGATCACTGCAAGTTTAAGGTCAGTCTGAAGTGCATCGTGAGACCCTGTCTCCAAGACAACAACAGTTCAGGACAAGTAGCAGTCGCTCCCAACATTGGGCTTGACCCCCTTCTGCATGGAATGCAGACTTGTGCACATGGCAGGATTGCTCTGTGAATCCTGGGCGGTGGGGTGTTCTCACCAGCTGGGAGAATAAGTTGTAGCCCGTCCGTCCTGCCAAGGCACACTTTCATCCTCCCTACTTGCCCTGGAGGTGCCTAGCCAAGGCCTCTCTACAGAGTAATGGGTTTTGGCTGTTCCCAGGCCTGTGATAGCATCAAAGAACGATAAACTTGAGCTGCAGGACTGCTTGGAATACAGCAGGACAGCAAAGGTAAGATGTGCTTGCAGGTGGCCTGTACTGCCGTTCTCTGTGAAATGCACTTGGTGACCTTGGTGTGCTGTCCAGTTGACCCTACTTCTCCACACGCGGACTCCTGGTGCTGGCCCTCTTTCCCCACGTAATTGTTTATTCCTTTTTCACATACAGAGAGTAGGAGATGTTTTTGATACACAATTACTGTGAGAAAAGGCAACTGAGTAGGCTTTCCAGTTGTTAACACTGGATACATAGACCCTGAATTCAGCTGACCTTTCCAGTAATAGCAGAATAATTAACTGATATAAAAAATGAGAAGTAAAAAAAAGAGTCGTTGTTAATATATTAACACATAATTGCAAAGATCCAGTTGTCCAAACTGCAGTTGACCATTCTCTGTATCTGGGTGGTATTTCCATTTCATTTACTCTTTGAATAACTTGTTGTCTTCTTGTCCCTCATGTGATCTTATTCATGGTCATTTTTGTCTATTTTATTCTCTTCTGAGATTGGTTCTTCCTTACCACAAACTTCTTGGCAGTTGTGGGATGCACAAAATATTCTTCTCTCGAATCTCCTTTTCCGTCCCTTCCCCGCCCTGCACTTCTGCACTCCTTCCTCTCCCTTCCATCTTCTCTGGGCACTTTTGTGTCTTGGCCTCACGTGGAACCATTCCTTTCTTCTGTGCTCACTCCGTATCATTTTATTCTCCAGTTAAAGAAAGTACAGACAATAACCACCAAGTCGAACTCGATCAGACAGGGGAAAAACCAACTTTTCCCTGTTGTCATGAATGGCAAAGAAGATGTTTTGTGGTGCACTGAGCTCGAGAGGTGAGCAAGGCTGCACTTGGAGAGGGAAATGGTGCAGAGTCAGAGAGGGGAGAACATATGATCCATCATGGCAGCCCAAATGAATTTTAAGTTGCTCGCCTTAATTCTAAGTCTCACAGGCCCCAGGGAGTGGGTCTGAGAGTAGATATAGTACCTTTTCACTTAGCCCTTGGTTTTGGGCAAAAATGGTGAATGGTGAATGGTGGTGAGCAATCCGAGATGAGAGGTCATGAGACAGCACCAACTGCCATCTACCTGTCTCCACAGGCTGAGTTTCCCCCTGTATGTAGGAGGAATCCACTGAAAGCAAACCCCTTGCTCTTAGAGGATTTCTTTACCACGTTGTTCAGCGGATAGCTGATTCTGTTAATTTTCCCTTTGCCCTTTATGGTATAAGATTTGTCTATTTAGATATAAAGAGCCATGGCTGATTTCAAGTCTCCTTGATTTTTTCTTATTTTTAAAAATTATTTCCTTTGGGGCTGGTGAGATGGCTCAGTGGTCTAAAGCACCTACTTAGAACAAGCTTAGCAAGGCACAGGGACCATGGTTCAATCCCCCAGCACCACATGCCAGCCAGCCCCGCCCCCCTGGTGGGCTGAGCTGGGCACATACACACACACATACACACTAAATAAAATTTAAAAACAATTATTTCCTTTTAATGTAGTTGAAAGGGATGAATTTTACTCTTTACATGTTTGTGTTCCAAAGACTGTTTTCTTTTAGATTCTTCAGTTCTAGTTTTATTTCTTTGACTTAATAGATAGATCTCTTACAAAAACTAGAGAGTAGCTTTGCCCAATCCGTGCTGTGGATTCTTCTGGGTTTGAGACCCAAACATACCTAAAGGTTTAGGTGGAGCTATGCTAAGAGGGTGAAACAGGTAGCTGTCACTAAGTAGGTCTTGTACTTGCTGAGCCACTGGCCATTGGTGATTATCATGCTGTGAAGCTGGGTAATGCTGGGATCCAGTGTTATCTGTACCCTGCTACCACAGCTAGTCCAACCTGTACATAAAACAGGGATCCTTACAAATACTCACTATAACTTTTGTGAGTCTGTGATGGTTGACATTCTAGTTTGTTTCTGTGAGTGACTTTGTTCCTTAAAGGAAATTGCTTAATTTATCCCATCATTACATTTGGAAGATACCTGTACATGGTTGCTATATTGCTTGGTATTTAAGGGACCTTAATATTATTAATTCATACCATCTGTTCAAGAAAGGTCCCTTGAGCATACTAAATAAGCGCCAGGAAGATAATGCTAGTGCTAGTGCTGGGGACACAGCAGGCAGGTGTCCTTGTGGATGAGATCTTGGTGAGCAAATATGCTGCTGAACTTGGGTGTACTGGAAGGCAGGAAAGGACACATTCAGGGGCCCCTTGGGCCCGCCTGAAGGGTGGGGTGAAAGGGAAGTCACAGGAAGTCACAGCAGAGTAGCAGTAGCCACCTGGCCAGTGAGAGAATTCCTTTGGCTCTTGGGAGGTCTGGGCACTTCTGACTCCTTGTCTTTTCACCCCGGTGCTCTCCCAGGATCTTCGGCTTTCCCGTACACTACACGGACGTGTCCAACATGGGCCGTGGTGCCCGCCAGAAGCTGCTCGGGAGGTCCTGGAGTGTGCCCGTCATCAGACACCTCTTCGCCCCCTTGAAGGACTACTTTGCATGTGAATAGTTCTGCCCAGACCTGTGGCACTGGGGCTTGTGGGCAGAGCCAGGGCCACAGAGGCCTTCTGATTCCTGAAGGTGCTGCCCCCAGCTCTGCCCTACCTCAGCTCAGCATATGGGGTCTCACTGTACCTCAGTTCTCTCCTGCTCAGTTTGAGCAGAACCACCTGACCCAAACAGGCAGGATGAGCCCAAGGTGCTGCCTCCTTGTGCACAGTTCACACCTGGCTGCTCAGAGCAGCCAGACATGGTGCTCATTTTTCTCCTCCTAAAACTTTAAAACTTGAAGTAGGTAGTAAGATGTTTTTCTCCTCTCTCCTGGGTATACCACCCAGAATTGATAGCTAAGATACCAAAACTACAGTGCTGACCGCTCTCCAAGACTCAGGTAATGCTGCAAAATAACCCAAGACAGTTATTGTAAAACTTTTTAGAGATGTCTGCAACTCCATGTTTATAGGAGTATTCAGTTGTAGACACATAGTTAAGGGACATTTTAAGGGCCCAGGACGTCTTTTTTAGGGCTAGCGGAAGAGGAAGTGATGTGTATGTCTTTCTTGAATTTTACCCAGCATATTTTCCTGCCTTGCTGCAGGGGCTGGAGTCTGCCTTTAGAATGTTTTCCTTGATGATGATTTTAGCAGGGATGATGTCATCATCACCACATCAGGGCTACTTTCCCCCACAAATCCAAGGGCAAGGGCCACCCCTAGCAAAATCCCTCTCCCTGACTGCAATAGAACCCCCATCAGCTCAGGAAAGGGTGGCGGAATTGGATCATACAAGTTGCCATGTGTTAGGTGCACAAGTTCCACCTTTCACTTCCCTCTTCCCTGTGTGCGGGTACTGAAGGAAGGAAGGCGTTTAGACAAGAGCCCACCCCCTTCCCTCCGAAAGACATACCCTCTGTGGACACAGGCCCTGTGAGAAGCCTAAAACCCTAATGTTCATCTGTCTTCAAGAAGCTGTGACAGTGAGAGGCAGAAGCACATTTCTCACATTGCCCCTGCATCTAAGAGATGGTGGGGAAACTGCCATGAAGGCATGATCCTCCTCCCAGAGATTTTAAAATCCTTTTTTATTCCACAGTACATTTTTTAGGGGGATGGGAGGTCAGACAAGCTGCATTTCAGAAATGCTGTAGTAATGGTTTTTAACACCTTTTTTACTCTTCTTGCTGGTGCTATATTGTAGAATAAGGAATAACTTAGACAAGTTTATGGGGCTTTTATACAGCTTTTAAAAATCTCAGACTTCTATTTTTATGTTAATGTTTTCATTAAAATTTTTTGGTAAGTGGAGACATAACAAGTATGGGAAGAATATTGTGCCTTGTTTCAACAGTTTTTGCTAATTGTTAGGCCAAACAATAATGAATAGTTTTCCTTAATCTGTTTCATTAAAATCAGTATTTCTCTATAACAGTGTGGTGTCCCTTTTGTTCTTGTGCAGGTCAGTTGGACAGCACGTGTGGGTTGCAACCGTGGAGTGGTGGTTGGTGGCAGGTGATCCATTTAAGCATAGTAGGATACCCTGGCCACTCTAGGGTCTAACAAAATTCCAGTGAACCAGCATCTGCTGTGAGGCTTCTGATTGTGATGAACCACTTCCATTTTTTCTTCTAGAACATGTAAAATGAGCTCTAGGAATTTGATGCTATGGTGGCTTTTTTTTTTTTTTTTTCCCCCCTTTGGCGGAACTGGGGATTGAACTCAGGCCTTTGAGCTTGCCAGGGAAGTGCTTATTCTACTGAGCCATCCCCCCAGCCCAGTGCTGTGGGTTTTAAGGGCCACATGATTAAATGTCTCAACCTTCATTTAAAGCTTAATGTCTGGGTAAAAGCCTTGGACCTTATTTCTTAGATGAAGACTGCTGGGGCCAAGTCTCATGCTCTGAGGCATTCTGCTGTTCCTCACTGCACAGTTGTCCAGTAGTCATTTTGCAGAACTGCCACCTTCAGTGAGGAAGCTGTTGAGAGACTTTGGCAGTGAGTGCTTTCAACTGATCCCTCAGACTGAAATCCTACCATTAATTGAATCTTCCAGGGTTTGAGTCTTGCACTCTTCGATCCTCTTGCCCTAACCCAACCAAGTGCTGGGATTACAGGTGTGTACCACTACACCTGGCCCTCATTTGAAAGATTATAATCAGGGATAGATCTTTGATAGTTACATAAAGGATAAAAAGTTTTTTTGTTTTGTAGTGAGCCACACCAACCACTTGTGGAGGTACTGCAGTACCAGGTTGATGCATGGTGAGGTTAAAACAAGCTTAAGTTTCTATTCTATCTTCTAAACATTTGTATTTCCTGGACCAGAGGAAGTATTGGCTATTAAACTATAAGAACGGATACCACATTTAATCTTTGCCAAAAGGCTGAGAAGCACAATTGCAAAGCATGTGAAGAGGTGAGAGGCTTTAGGAATGTGAGATGGGAAATCAAGTGTGTTATCTGAAAGTTAGCATAGGCTAGAATAGTCCAGTTGAGTTGTCATAGTGAGATTCGGCAATTAGCAAGAGGCTGCCCCTAAACTCCTCCCTGAGGTGTTGGGACCCAAGGGGCAGTGGCTGCCCAATTAAGCCATCTTGTACACAGTTCTGTAGCAAATGCCAGGACAAGATGAAGCAAAATAAGCAGCCCCGGTCTCAAAATCCGAAAAGAAGAGGTGGACTAGCCCTCCAGGTGAGGGGTGCTGTGGTGTTGGCCTGCTTGTGCAGCAGGCATGTGGGTGGGTGGCTGGTAGAGGTCATGCGTGTGATTATTGTGTTTTCTCAGAATGAGGCCAGGCTGGGATCTGAGTGTTTCCAGGCTCAGTGGTAATGGGAGATGGACACTGGGGAGGAGTGAGCCTGTGAGCCTTTTGTGAAACAGTCGCAGGATTATTGAAGTTTGAGGGCCCGGTTTACCTGGCAGGTGAAAGTGCTTCACTACAATGAGGGTATTGTGGAAGAGACCCTTCAGCCATGCAGTGTGCATGCCAGTGATGACCAGGCACCACTAATGGTAGTAACAGCCTACATATATGAATAATCAGTCTTCCAAAGGGACACTATTGCTCCAGATGCACAATTGGTGCTCACCCTGGTGACAGCAACTGTTATCAGTGCTTCTCATGACCCCTCCCCCCATCATTTCAGGTCCCACTGCTGCTTGTTGGAGATGGGGTAGGGTGACTTTGGCATCTGGGACCCCATAGGGATGGAAAAGATCTTGTGGTCATCCCACCCTTTATTCCCTGGCATTCTAGCCAGATGCTTGAGTGCTTTTATGCCCTGCCTGTGCTTGGTCCTTCATTACTTTCTGGGAGCCAAAATGTCTGGATTCTGTTTTAGTGTCCCACTGTACTAATTTGCCACCTCTTATGTATGCTTCATAGCCCCCTGCCTCAGTTTATCCAGCTATACAATCGATTCCATAGGGCTGATGTATGGATCAAATGATTCAGGGTTAGGGAAGCAACATAGGAACTGTGTACTATTAATGCTTTCCTAGTGACCCAACCCAGAGTCTGATTATGGTGATTCTGTTAAGTCCTATAACAGTCACAGCCATTACCCTCAGGTGTGATGAGCTGAAGTCTGGTCTTCCAGGAGGAAGAAGTCTACAAGCACTCCTTGATCTCACTGTTTTTGGTTGTTTTTTGCTTTGTTTTGCTAGGCCTTGAAATTACCTCCTGCCCTTTGCAACCTGGGCTACAATTTGTCTACTACCTTCTTTGCTTCCTTCTCTTCCATCTAGCCTAACTTCCCTCCTTTTTTCCTTTCTTTTTTACTGACATTTCAAATTTTTAAAATTTTTTTTCTTTTTTTGCCACCATGGGCTGCATAGGGAATTCATTATTTTTTTTTTTTTTTTTTTTTTTTGGTGGAACCGGGGATCGAACTCAGGTCCTTGAGCTTGCCAAGGAAGCGCTTATTCCACTGAGCCATCTCCCCAGCCCCTAAAAAAAAACTTTGAAGCATAACTTTTTTTTTTTTAATTTATGGGTTTGGTTTTTTTTTTTTTTTTTTTGTGACTGTCTCTTTCTGGTCTTGAATTTACCATTAAGCCTAGGCTAGCCTGGAATTTGTGGAGCTCCTACTTCAGCCTCCTGAATGCTGGAGTTACAGGCATAGGTTATCATGCCCACTTTAAAAATAATTTTAGATGTACACAAAAGGAACAAGACTAGTACAAAGAATCCTAAACATGCATTACCCAAGTTCCCAAGATATTAACATTTGTAACATTGCTATAATTTTTTTTGCCGTCACTGGAGAGAGTTACAGACATGGTCCCTTAAAATCTTTCTCTGCATATCCTCTCTGCATATGGCAGAGGGTTTTTTTGTTGTTTTGGTGGAACCAGGGATTGAACTTGGGCCCTTGCAATTGCCAGGCAAGTGCTTATTCTACTGAGCTATATCCCCACCCCCCTTAAATCTTTATGTGTATTTCTTATTTTTTTGGTGGAACCAGGGATTAAATTTAGGCCCTTGCACTTGCCAGGAAAGCGCTTATTCCACTGAGCCATCTTCCTGGCCCCCTATTTCTTAGAACTAGGACATTTTCATATAAAACTACAGTACATTTATCACAATCTGGAAGTAAATTTTTTTTTTTTTTTTTTTGCGGAACTGGGGATTGAACTCTTGCACTTGCTTATCTCCCCAGCCCCTTGGAAGTGAGCATTCATCCACTTATTCATCCACTTATGGATTCTGGCCTTAGTATGAATCGCTGAATCATGGTGGCCATCTAATATGGCTGAAGCCCTTAAAACAAAAGCCCATCTTCCCCAAGACCCCCTCCCCACTTCTTCTCCAACTCAGTCCAGGGTACAATTTCCTTTCACCTACCACCTTCAGGGTAGATCCCCAATCAGTTTCTCAGGAATGTCTAAACAACCCCTTCAGATTCCACTCTTGGCAAAAGGCCATGAAATCCTCAGCCTCCCTTTGTTCTAATCCAGAGAATTCCTCATCCCCAGATTCTCTCTGTGTCCTCAAAGATAATAAAACCCCATTCTCTTTTTCCTTCTGCCTGTTTCTCTGCTGCAATGCCGTTGAAAACCTATCAATTTCCTGGACTACAAATCTTAGGTTTTGCCAGTTGGTCTTTTTCTTCCTTTTTAATGTATTTAGTACAGAGTCTACAGGGTCTCACTACATAGATTGGACTCGTAGTGATCCTCCTGTTTTCAGCCTCCCAAGTGCTGGGATTACAGGCATGTGCCACCATGCCCAGTCTCAGTCTCTGTCTCAGTGTGCCCTGGGGGCTGGGTGGTACGACATGTGGTGCCGGGGATCAAATTCTGGTCCCTACATCTGCCTAAGCAGGCACTTCAGTCTGCTGAGCTATCTGGCTGGCACCTCTTGGTCTCACTATGCGGTTCAGGCTGGTCTTGAACTGGTAACCATCCTCTGGCCTTGACCTCCCAAATGTTGGGATTACTGCCAGGTTGCATTTATTTATTTATTCAGGTGTGCTCTATGTAGTTCAACCTAGTCTTGAACCCATGCAATCCTTTTGGCTCAACAGCCCAAGTACTAGAATTTCAGGCATGTTCCATTGTGCCTGGAACTTTCTGGTTTTTTTTTTTTACATAAGTGGGACACTGTGGAACATGCCTGTAATCAGGGTGGCTAAGTCAGGAGAATGGCAAATCCAAGTCTTTCTTGGCCAACATAGTGAGATAGTATGACAACAAATGAAAAGCCAGGCTGGGTAAGGTGGCACATGCCTGTAATCTCAACACGTGGGAAGCCCAGGCAAGAAGACTGCTGCAAGTTCTAGGCCAGCCTGGACTATACAGTGAGTCCAGGGTCAACCTGAACTATATAGCAAGACCTTGTCTGAAAAAGAAAATTAAAAAAGAAAAGCCAGTGATTGTGGCAGAAAACAATAGGCCTACCGCTCTGGAAAGCTGAGATAGGAGGACTGAGAGTTCAAACCAATTCAGCAATTTAGTGAGCTCTATCTCAAAATAAAAAAATGGCTGGGGATGTAGCCTAATGCAAGGCCCCTGGGTTTCAATCTCTAGTACCACTGCCACCATCACCAAGCTGAGGATGTAGCTTACTGGTAGTATCCTGGGTTCAGTCCCCCATCACAAAACAAAGCAAAAACTGTTAGCTATGAAATATAGAAGGGTATTAAGTGTCATGCTTCAAGCCTTAGAACCTGTCTGTGTTCTCTGACTCCTAGTTATCTGACATGTCAGCACTGTAGAGAGAAAACAGGTTGGAGGCTGGGTTGGTGTTTCCCCCCAAAATAAGACCTAGCTGTGTGGAGGACCACCTGGACGACTCCTTGAAAGAGGAGCAGTTGTCTCCATTTTGGCTGAGCCTGACCCTATTTCCATGTATTGATATGTACAGAGCTGGCTAAAACTTTTCATTTGGCTTTAAGCAATGCATATCAGTCCAACCGAGGTGCTGGTGGTAGTCTTTAAAGAGGCAGGTGTGTTTCTCTGGAATCCCCACCTGCTGCTCCCTACTGTGAGCCCAGTTGAAACAAGATGAAGAGCCAGTGCTCCACACTGTTAGCTGGGACGGAGCCTTGAGATAGAGGCTGTGACTTCCTGGGCTTGAAGGATTGCACATCAGAGCTGAAGCACCAACCCCAAAACATTAGATACTATCTCAACTGTGTAACGCAGATTATTTTCTGCATATCCTTCTTTGCATATCGCAGGGGTGAGTGCAGGCCTCCTACCTAACCCAGCTCATGGCACTAACCTACTTCCTGCCGTTCGTACAGTCACTCATCTTCAAGCCACTCTTTTCTTCATGAATGAATAAAACCTGGGTTCAGGCCTTTGTTCCAGATAGCCATCATCATGGCTTAGTGTATTTATTCTAATCCTAGAAGACACTAATATGCCTTAGTGTCTTTATTCTCACCCTGGGTCTCACTGGTTATAGTAGATTGGAATTAACTCCTCGGGATTCCAATAATTTATCCATGGGGTTAAACATAAACTTCTGGGGTTCAATCCATGGGCCTGCCATGCTGGCCCCAACCCCCAGGGTGTGCTGAGGTGGCAACTGAGACTGGGCGTGGTGGCATGCACCTGCAGTCCCAGCTTTTGGGAGGCTGTAAACAGGCGGATCATTGTTGTTGTTTTTTTTTTTTTTTGGTGGAACCAGGGATTGAACTCAGGTCCTTGCGCTTGCCAGGGAAGCACTTATACTACTGAGCCATCTCCCTGGCCCAGGCGGATCATGTCTAGTCCGATCTGACAGTGAGACCCTGAATACCCAGTAGACCCTTCCCTAAAAATACCAAAAAAAAAAAAAAAAGTGGATCAGGAAGAGCTCTCTATATAGTTAGCAAATAATCAGCCTTTGAAACTAGAGATCAAATATGCCAGCTCCGGAAGCCAGGCATAGTGGCATACACCTGTA